TACACTCGAAACATGGTGCCATTCTCCAATCCCTGTGGGCTTGGTAGCTCAAGAGGTAGAGCGGCGGACTAGTATCCCGAAAGGTGCGAGTTCGATCAAATCTCGTCCAAGTCACATGTTGAGTTACCTCTGATAAGGGAAAATTCGAGTCTCACGATGTTTGATAAAGCTAGACAACCACGAAAGGCTAATGACATTAGCAAGTATAATTTTTTCGCCAGGATCACCACTCTTCGATTTCAAACGCTTTTTGGCTTTCGTAAATCAGTCCCGTATTTTCTTCCATTTTTGTCTGCAAACAGCATCATTTGTTTCGAGCTTTTCGGCGATTTCCTCTCATGAATTCGCAGTTTTTTGTAGGTCTTTATAATCCCGTCTAGACGAGTCATATATATCAGGATATTTCCTAACTTCTGCTAATCTTTCTTCGAATCCATCCACGATTTAATATTTTTCCTTATTTGTGATAAACATTTAATGAGACAAACACAATTGACCAACCACGTGTGATTACATAGCAATTATCTTGCGCGACAATTCGACAAATTGTCTGCAACTATTTGCGAGGCGCACGTGTGCGATTCTCACTTGACTCATAGATTTGTTCCATTGTTTTTGTTTTTCTGTAACTACAGCTCCTCGGAAAGGACCCTGTAATTGTGGTCTGATAGGGTATGCAGGATCACCATATATGCATAAAATATCTCCTTGCATGTTAAATGAACATTGCTGTAACATGTCGAGCTCGAGAATACCAGATTGGGCAAGCATTGCACTGTCATGCCTTTTTCCTTCGACTGGACCATAAAGATTAGCTATCATGACTGATGGTGTTGCAATGGATTGAAACTTAATAGCATGAACTTTCTTGTGTCCATTATAAAGTGTACGTTGCAATCGACCTGGTCGTGCAACAGGACGAACAGTCCCGTCGATGAACCCCCAGCAGTTGTTAGGAGCTGCACCCTTTTGGTGTATAACTGTAGCAAACTCCTCTAAATGTTCTGGTTGCAATCACGCCTGGTTAAGATCAGTGAGCAAATGATGCCATCGTTCATGAATTACGTTCAGAACTTGATTCGATATCATGTACAACTGAGGTTCAGGTCTGGCAAATCTATGAATCATATCAACATATCTGAAGGATAAGCAAACCTCTTCAAAAAAATGCATATTCCCTCAATGTTGTATACTTTTAGTCCATAATAGCATTTTATTTCCCCATGCAATTCCAATATTTCAGCAAGGTTGTAAATATAATTTTGGAAGAAGCGAAATTCTGCTAAACATTCATCATCCGTCATTCGATCTACATCGAAGTCTTCATAACGCCAAAACGGTATCCTAGTGCTTTTGGGTTTAGTTACATCGTATAGCAGAGCAAATTCTTCATCATCTATCGCGTTCAAAGCATGAGCGAACACAGTAATTTCCCTAAGACTCGGAATATTAAAGTTTAATGAATGTTTATTTACACACAAAAGTCTTAGCACATGAAATCGTAAGGTTAAATTTAAGCGGGAAACGGCAACGTCAACCGTGAAATTATGTCAAATGCTACTTCCGTTTTGGTGATATGACGCCATATTCCTCATGCGACATGGCGCGCGACACTTGTCGCACGAAGTGTAAATTAGTGTAAACGTAGTCTAGTACCCGTCATAAGTTTTTGATTTTTCAGTTGTGGGAGCAATGACATCTCAGACACGTCAAAAACTCTTTTAAAACACAATTGAAGGAAAAACTGTTTCACTAATTTGACATTTGACATAATTTCACATAATTTCACATAATTTCACATAATTTCACATAATTTCACATAATTTCACATAATTTCACTAATTTGACATTTGACATAATTTCACGGTGAAATTATGTCAAATGCTACTTCCGTTTTGGTGATATGACGCCATATTCCTCATGCGACATGGCGCGCGACACTTGTCGCACGAAGTGTAAATTAGTGTAAACGTAGTCTAGTACCCGTCATAAGTTTTTGATTTTTCAGTTGTGGGAGCAATGACATCTCAGACACGTCAAAAACTCTTTTAAAACACAATTGAAGGAAAAACTGTTTCACTAACAAAAACCTGTAAATACAGAATGACTTCACTTTCCATGATGCAAGGCTTATGAGCACAGTCACGTGCCGTTTAATCTAAGCAGGGCGTTAGCACTTTCTAATTAATCAATATTATATGCAGTGGCGTAGGTTTGAACCAGGCCGCTTGTGGCCCTTCCTAGATGGGGCGCCCCTCCCTCAACTGTCACAACATAAACATTTTCCTAATAATTGTTATTAGGATACAATATTAACTGTTTTTAATTTATATGCAAAAAAAAATACCAAATAGAGCTTTTAATTTACTTCCTCGAACTTAAATCCACGAATGACTTTAAATATGAAATTTCCAGTCCTTCAGCTTGCCCATATATAACCCTAGTTTTTTATCTTTATTTTTGTAAACAACACCGTTCAGAGTGCTCTCTTGCAAGAAGATCAAAAGAAGACCTTAATTTCTTGAGTGTTTTTCTTGATTCTTTTCAGATGGTAAAACTGACAACGATATTTGGACCACAATGAAAAGATCCCTCGGACACCAACGACAACTCGTGAGTATTTCCAAATCAAACAAGCTCTCGTTAATTACAGGGGAAATAAAAACCTGTATATAATACTTTCAACTTGGCTCAAGTCGTACTTTCAACTGACTATACTCCTTGAAATGCAGTCATAATCAAGACTGTATTGTGCCAAAAAATGATAATTTACTAATTTTACATCTGTCAGTTTACATTTTGCTAAAGGGTTTCTTTTGCCCAGTGCCCTGGTTTAATGGCCTTTGTTCATGCAATTAATGGTCATATACATGGATATTGTTCCTGTGTAATTTCACCTTTTATATTTGCTTTGTTATTCATTTTTTTATTATAGTTTCAAAACGCCTAGGAGATCAAGAGCAAAGTGCTCACGCAAGAGCATGACAGATCAAGTCCATATCATAATGAAGTAAATTTATATATTATTAGAATGGGTATTTAAACATTTTTATTATTTCCAAACATACCATTTGCAAGTCACGATCATGTCCTAAATCCCATAAGATACATTATAACAGTGAAGATGCAATTGATTTATTGACTCTGAATATGACTACCGCTAAGGCTGTCGAAACGTCAGTCAACAACATCAAAAACAGTCCTTCTCAGGACTACACTAATCTGGACGATCTACATCTACAAACAAGTAACAAAAGTTTTTAGTTTTCTAAAAGAAGAAAGCTCGATAAAGATGATATTTCCCACAAAATTTACGGATGAGGAAAAAAAACAATCGCTTGAAGAGGCAAAAATAACGTTCAAAAATTTACAGTGTAAAGCAGCTGTTTTGCTTTTTTAAACCGACTACAGAAGTCATTGTTTTAATCAGTTGATGGATGAAAAAGGCGAAGACGTGATGATTTTTGACGGAACTGATGGCAAAAATCATAGATTACGAGAACATTCACCACATACAGGTTGTTGTGCTGGTTAAAAGAAATGGAAAGGCTGTCATCACTGATAAATGGTCAGAGTGCGTTTTGGACATTTGTAAAAAGGAAGGTGAAGAAGGCCATGCTAATAATAATAATCGTAATAAAAAGCTTAAAGAGAAGTTGGCATTTGACTCACTTTAGACAATGCACATTTGCTCAAGATATGTACTTTTTCGTTCTATACTCTTACAGCACTATATAAATATGACCTTCTGAAAAAAACGGATCCTTCTCACTCACGGCTTCTGTTTATATAAGGAGCATTTCTGAGTTATTTCTCTCATTCTAGATATTCCTTTGGACTCTAATGGCCTCTAGCCAGCGTTTATTTCACTCCTGAAATTCGAATAAAGGAAATGGAAGAATAGTCATTTGCTTGATTCGCCAGGGGCTGTAATGCACAAGGAAAAGTAGCCTTAAGATCACCATTACAACTGCCAAAGAAATTACGACTGAAAAAAGTATTTTAGTAAAAGACAAAGCAATTAGTCATTATTATTCGAACAGGCCTATCACATTCATCGTATCAATCCTCCACTGAGCCATGGTGCACACGCGTAGAGTGATTAGACGATTTCTGTTGATTGTTTATTTATTTAATTTAAATGAAGTCAATGAACAACTAGTTAATCACGATCTCATTCATAATTCGGAATTTTTTAAAAGCTCAAATATTCCATTTATAAATGATGATGACATGTAATACTTGTCGGAACGTTTAGAAAAAATAATATTTACTTTATACGGAGTCTCAATTGCTTTGTGTAGTACACACCAAAAACTCATTCTACTACTCTGTGATTGCTAAATAAGAGAAGCCTTTGAAATTTTAGATTTAGTCAACTTAATATTACCACCAAAAATACTTGGTCTTCCATCTTGTTAGTGTCACATGACATAAGTGTCCCAATTTTCCACCCTAATGCATAGAGAATTCGCAAAACTACTCATAAAATCATCTGCCTTGTGCGTGTGGCTTTTGGGAACGTGTCATCGGCCTTTTCATGGTACATTTCTAACTGGCCAACGAATACAGCTGCATTACATCTATTTTCTGTTTGTCCGAGTTATTGTGGGAAGCATGTTCCATTCTTATATTAAAGGGATTAGTTTTTTGACTATGGGTAAATTCCTTTAGGAAGAACGTAATTTGAAATTGAGGAATAACAATATCATGCCATCCAAACTGCAAGAAATGCTGTTTCAGAAGTATTGTCTGTTTTCTAAGATATTTTTCTTCTCTTTTTGGTAAAGTATTGATGTTATCTGTTTCCTAGAGTACTTGTGTTCTCTGTTTCCTAAAGTGTTCATGTTCTCTCTACTATTAATTAAGTTTAATTTTCTTTATTAACGTCCTCTATTTCCTAAGTCTTAATTAATTTCTTTACATTAAACCATTGTAATGAGAAGTTATTTCCGCTGCAGTTCTTGGAACTCTCCACACTCCAACACACAACAGGTATTTCAACAACTGCGTAGCCGTAGAGATATGACTACAAAGATAATCAACATACAAGCTTGACTGTACATGATCGATTGGTCTCAAATAACAAGTAATGAAGGACGATCGAAGTGATATGTATGTTGGCAATGAACTACATATGTATGTCTGAGGTAAATAATATTTGTAAAAAATTAATACGCATTCACTCGAATTGAACAAGAAGCTCTTTGTTAGACTTTGTTTACGATGCATGTATCAAGTGATGTATCCGCTAACTTGGTTCTAATTTGTCAATATTGTTAAGTTTTGTGATCTAGCCATCTACCTTCTTTAGTATATATTGACTTACACCAACAAATAGAGATATCACAGATAACTATTACGATCACATTTAACGTTCAACGTCAATGTCTATGGACTACGATCTATCTTACAATTGTTAAACTACTTCTATTTATACGAGATTTTACGCATGGATATATTTTTTTCTTTACTAAATATGTTTAATTTACAATCAACGGAAAGCTATTAGGAACTATAAAAATATTGTGATTATTGCACATAAATATCTCTTAAAATAATCAGTTAGTTACACTTGACTTAATTATTTACTAACTACAGGAAGAATATGAGAGCATATCTTGCAAATATATTGCAAGATTTCCGAGAAATTTACGATTATGGTGATCGTAGCAGTAGACACAATTTCGAATTTTTTAAAAGTTCCCATTTGACTGCCATCAACAGTACAAAACAGCTGTGTTTAACGTATTAAACGCTAGACTAATAAGTGTAAATATGTATTTGAGGCTTGACTTTACCTTTATATCATGATCACTTGTTCGCATATACTAATGTATAGGGATGTTATCGTCTCTTTAAACTAAAAGACAGTTTACAGTACACAATGGGTGTCAATCCTGCGATAATTGGGGGAACATATTCATATACTCTGTTATGCCAGGCTGATTTCTTTTGAAAATGAAATTGTTTGGAAAAAAAATTATCAGGCATAGCAGAGTATATGAGTATGGTCCTCCCCAATTAAGGCAGAATTGACGCCAATGCAGTACACAAGATATCACCGGTATAAAGCAAAAGTTATAACATCTGCGAAATGTCTGACTCAACATGACGTCCATGACAGTCTGTTAGCAAGGCAAAATAACACATGGTTCTGACATGAAAATAAAGAAAGTGTGGCCATTTTTAACAAAGCGTGTGTTCTAAGTAAATGTTTGTTCATCGATGTACACAATTGGACCACTGCCTTCGACTATGAAATTTTATATTTAATGCCTGCAAAAATAAACATTGCAAATTTCACCTACTTGACGTGGCATTCTAATTGATTCTTTTTCCACTCTTGCCAAAGTTTCAGGAGACTTTGTTCCCGAGCACTATCGTCTTCAGAAACCAGAGCTTGTGTAAACTCAACATAAACTATTCGTTCTGTTTTAGCCTATTTGTAAAGATAACAGATATTTTGTGACTTTCTTTTAATGAGCAAGGTAGTTGCAGCTCTTAACCATTTCAAGAAAAAAACCCAAATTACCATTTTCGTCTGATTTTCATCGAGATGCTGATTGCTATAGTTTTCTGTCTCTCTTTGTATGAGACAATCTCTTTGAGGCGTATCAAAGTAGCAAGTTTTAATCCTGCTATGTAAATTTTAGAGCATTATCATCATTCATTTCTTTACAATCTTTTGTTTTTGCAGTGAGAGAGCACAAAACAATGTGCATAGCAGGGCAAACTTTGCAAACTAGTTACGTCATTTGAACTAAAATCTTGTCGATTAAGGGCTGACTCTAGCAACAACGTAGCAAGAAATGTTCTTGAAAACGATACAGAAATAAAATCTTGATGGAAGTGTAGTGCGTTATTTATTTATTCTGCAAATAGATGGCTTATTTTCAGAACATTTACCAATATATGCACACACATATACCTCATAAAACTTATTTTCAAGATGGTATGTAAAAAATACAGCATTTTTTTAAAACTTTTGATATTCACTCGTTTTAAAATCCTCTTCTTAGCAGTCGAGAAGAAGTTGCTGAGTTTAGAGTATAAATACGTAAATTCTATCGAAGGTTAGTAAATGTTAAAAAGAACAATTTGAGAACAAAGTTTATTGGTTTGTTGGTTTGTGATCTCAATTATTTTTGTTCAAAATGCTGTGTGATTCAAGGAACAATATGATGGCAACATTCCAAAAAATTTGCAGACGTTTTATTTAAGTTAAAAAATCTTTATGGCTAAGGAAAATGAAGTGTATGTCTTTGGATCAGCCTCGTCAAAGGATGAACTTCCTCCAGATTTGGATGAATCTCAGGTATACATATTGGGAAAAATCAAAATTTTGATGGACTAATTTATTGTTGAAAAAATACAGAAAATCAAAAAGTACATTATTGATAAAGAAAAATATATCATGCAGTGGGATAGTGTGATTTTTGCAAGGGAAGACCTTCAATCGTGAAAAATTTTTTGAGCCAACCGTTGAGAATAAAATATAGTGCTTTTATATATGAGATAGAAGTTTTTTTAACTTTTTTTACTTGGGTTTTACATTTTGATAAGATTAAAACTAAGCCTCTATAAATAACAGAATGCAAACACGCTTTTCACCAAACTTTTTATCGAAGTTGTGATTAGATCAAGCTATCGATAATAAACCTTCTTTTATTTGTCACTCACCTAAACCTCAAGTGACGTTCGATTTATGCCAGGCTGCAAAGCTTGCGTCTTCTTCTAACCCCTTTTTCGTTATTGACGATTGCCGCATTTTAAGTCCTTTGAGGTTTAGGAGCAAATAAAACTTCCGAATGCATAGTAACTAGATGACCTCGCGAAAGTAGCCGCTCCTCGGAGCCATTAATTTCGAAAATAGCCTCGGCGGTTACTTTCAAGACTATCTATTTTGCAAAGATTGATAGTACAATGCAGATTATCCTTGTCATTAACAGCTTGACAATCGAAAGGACCATTATGTATCGGACTTGGAAGTTTTTTGGACATCAATATATTCCTACATCGGACACTTGCCGGAAGAAGAGATACAACAAAAGCAAGAACAATTTTGTCATTGCTTTCGATCAATTCTTAAAGCTTACGAAGATAAACTCTTTGAAATCAAAGGGCTCCAAAATAAATTGAAGATTGTGAAGAAAGAAAACGGCCAGCAAAAAGAAGAAATCAAAAAGTTAAGGAAATACGTGCAAAAACTACACGATGAACTCAGTTCAAAGACCTGCGATGATTGTGGCAAAGTGAGAATTTCAAAGCTCGAAGACGAGGTAACTTTTTGTAGCTTATCATTTTTGATAAATTAAGAGAATGTACCAAAATGTTAGGTCCTCAATTAATATGACATATGATTTGACTTGGAAGGAGCGTCTGGACAACGCTGTTTATTTTAACAATTTTTGATTTGTCATTGTTAAACCCTTTGTGTTTTTCATTCACTTGGCTCATTGCCATGAAAGCAAGATATTTGTTCAGAAAGTTTTTCATACTATTTTAACGCCTCTGGTCTGCTTCTTCTACAAACGAGAATATTTTTTCTGTACAAAAATCTTTCCATGTTGGTTGTGTAAATATTTACGATATTACCTTTTGAAGAAACGGTACTGATTCATTGAAAGTTTAAAAAAACTGTGTTTATATTATTTTGACACAGTTAGACACACCCCTATTACCAATTTTCCGTCGCCATTGAATAAACGCAAGGTGAAAGCGAAGTTTTTCTCATGTACTGAAAATCAATGATTTTCTAATTTTGTTTTTAAAATTAAAGCTATATTATTAAAGAAATAGAAATTTTTTACTTGATTGTGCGTAATGAGTTATAGAAATGCTTGCCAAAGTTTGGAAGAAACTCGAAATTGCTTGGAATTATACTCGCACTTAGTGCTTGTTACGAAATTTCTCGTTTCTGTCAGCTTTCCATCATCTCTCTCTATAACTTTACAGAAACGATGAAAATGTTTTCTCTCTCTTGAATAACGGCATATCCAAGATTTTTTTTATTTACAATCATAATTTGCAGCTTGAGAAATTGAGCGTAACAGATGGACCACCATTAAAAAAACCCCAGGAACATAGGGAACGTTTACAAAAACGACCGCGGGAAAATGATGAGGTAGGTATGACAAAAGAAGAGATTGTAGCTAAAATGAAAGTGTTGATTGGTCTGTAGCTGAGTTTGCATTAGCCAAATCAAACCAAGCTGAGTTAAATTAAATCAATCAAAGAAAATTTGCAAATCAATCATGTATAGAGGAAAAAATTTATCTTCTCCGCTCATAAGTTTTCACGAAGCTCTTCACAGTTTGCATAAGCCAACGCAAACACAGTAAGCATCTTTTATTTGTCGAGAGAGAAAGAATTACAAAAAGGCTGAGCCTGCATGATTTTGAATTATTTTGATGACTCTATCACAGATTGTGCAAACAGTGTGATTGCTATGCTTATATGCTTTGAAAATTCATCACAATATCATTTGTTGCAAAGGTGTTTGAGTTTGAAATTCAACTAGCTTGACCACAATACAGTGCTCATAAAGTGAATATTGTGCTTTTTACGTTATAGTTTTATCGAACAGACAACTCTGTAAAACAGTTTATTTATATCTCTTTTGATTTTCAAGATAATGAAGTTTTTACAATCAGTGACGCGATATTAATGGTTTCTAAACAATTTCAACAAAGTAGCTATAATGTCATAAATATATTTGACAATTCATTTTGTAATATGACGTCACTGCTTGTAAAAAACTGGCACATTTCTACCAAAACAAAGGATTAAATGTCATAGAAATGAAAAGAGATGCGCATAAAACTGTTTTATAAAAGTATAAGGTAAAAAGTAAAATTTTCGCTTTATAACCACATTACTGAAAAAATAGCACAAGAGAGTATGATAGACAGTTGCGAAGCAAACAGACGTACTGAGTTATGGTCTTGAATGATATGAAAGACACTATGTCTCAAAATACAGGTAAAAGTGCTTTTGCAATTGAAAACTTTACCTAGGACTCTTCAGATGAAGATCTTCACAGAGTATTTACATGCGAGCACGCATCATGTGGTCATGTCGCCTTACTCCATTTGCTGGATAAATCAAACATTCAGTTTTGTCCGTCGAAGTTCATGCGGAAATTGGGTCGGACAACCGAAGAAACAAAATGCTCGAAAATTTTATCAAGCTTATTTCGAGATGGTTTATTGGAGATAATTCATAAGCAATTTGGTATTGATGATGGCGAACACTATGATGCTATAAAAAATGCAAAAGAACAATTTATAAAGTCAATGCGTCTAGCAGGAGTTTTGCTTTATTCCACCGAGAGCGATGAACATGAAAACCATTGCGTGAATCTATATCGTGTGGAAGGTTGTGCGAAGATTAGAGACAGAACAAAAAACCAAATCTACGTCAATGGTATTGTACATGCTCGTAAACTTCAGGTCGTCGTCTTAGCTTATGATGAGGAAGGAATGCCACTTCTCAAAAAAGAATGGGGTGATTGCCACACGAGAAATTGTGAAAGAGAGATGAAGAGCATCAGGAGACGAAAGAAAAAACCCAACACAAGCCCAGAGCAGCAGGACGTAGAAATGAATGACAACGTCTTGCAAGACAGAGCAACAAGTGACAATACCCCAGAACAAGGTGGTAATGGTAGCAATTTCCTGCACGACCTAGGTCCAGGTAGTAGTGACCGGGTAAAAAAAGAAGAGAGTAGAGATATTCCAGAAACAACAAGTTTAGAGAACTACGATCTTCAAGAAAGAGGAAAGGATGCCCTACTCCCAGAGGCAACAAGAAATAGTGAAGATCTACAAGAACACTTTGACATGAATGAAGTTGACAGCCATCAAGAATCGAACACACCACAAGAGATTCGAAACGAACCCATGATGGAAGAAGAGACTGCAGGAGAAAACAAAAATGATGATGAAAGTGAGCCAGGGTTAGAATTGTAGAAGGGATTTCGGTAACAGTCACACAAAAAAACACCAAATTTATGCAGCGTCGAAATTTCTGCTATCAACACTCTGTCTGAGGGGTAAATATACGCAAAATAGATAGTTTATTTCTTAAAAACGTACAGCCTTTGCCCCTGGTGACTTACCAGAGCTGAAAAACTTTAAGTAATAAATACTACAAATGTTAAGAACTGTTGTCAACATCTATTAAATATTCATGAAAATACGTAATTTACAATTTTGGCTAATTATTGGGAAAATCAGTTAGTCTTTATACGTTAGCAAAGCAGAATGGTGCACGCGTAAGTAATCTAGTTTTCTTTATATGTGTTTTTATGGTGACAATTGGTAGCTCACAATTTAACGACAACGGCATTCATGAAATAAATATTCTATTCGTAGTTTGAAAATTTTCACCATCATCGGAGAAATCATTTCATATACAACATAGGCAATATAAATTTAATTATAGTCGTTGAAACTTCGAAGTAGTTATGCGCATTTGCCAATGTAGGATGAGACAAATGAGTAAAATGGACGGCGCCTAGAAATTAAACCTTGAGAAGGGAGGCTAGAATTTATATTTAGTAAGTTTAATGCGTTTTTGTTAGGCTAAACAGAAGTTAAGGCCTCAAGTAAGGCTAAAATATATAGATATAGTGTTAGCAAAAATTTTATCTTGGGGAAAAAGCGCCTGAAAGTAGTGAATCAAATTGTTTTCTGGTCATTCGTTTCTTTATTATACGAAGTATTTTGCCAAAACTGACATGTTATCATCTCCAAGACTTTTATCTTTTTTCAAAATTATTTCATTGATAATCTATACTTATGTGACTTCATAGCTCAGTTGGTCAGAGCACTGCACCGGCACCGCAGAGGTCATGGGTTCCAATCCCGTTGAGTCACCTGAATTTTTCAGGTTCATGAGACAATTGCTTAAATTGTCCAGCAAAGTGCGAAGATCCTATCTTCATTTAATTTCAAACACCGCATTGCATAAAAACATTCTTTCATAATCTATACCTAATGAATTAAATGCAATTTCACGTGACCTTGACATCATGCTGCGCTATGATTTCAACATCAAATTTTCAAAACTGTGATCAGTAGATGTTAACATGGCGGCTTGTCAGGATCAAGATAACTTATTGAAGAAGCATTTTTGATTTTATCTCGATTGACCACATCTTTTTAAACATTGTACTGTGATTCAAAGGAAATAAGTAAGTAATAAACCATTACTTTACTTCGTTTCACCCGAGGTAAATAGTGAATTTGTATTGCGTCATTTGGTTTGAAGTTCACTGTAAATGCTGCACGTAATACCTAGTTGAAATGATCTTGCATTGAATTATTTCTTAGAAATCTTCAGTGCAAAGACGATTAAATTTGAATGGACTCTTATGTTCTTATTTAGGGAAGTCGTTGTCTGTACGGGTGTAAAGATGGCCATGAAGACAGCAGCGTCGACATTGGACCAGCATTTTCTTGATGAGGTACTCTATACAGCAATTTTTACCAACTATGACACAAAAAGGATTTAGAAATACAGTAAAATATTGCATAAGCCGTTTCTTTAGCAAAGGCAAGTCACTTGCCTAAATTGCTTCCTTAGTAATTTTACCTCCTACGCTTTTGTGTCAAGTTTAAATCCAGCAGCATTGCACATTTCTGTCAGTTTTCATGGCCCTATATCTGTAATAACATCAAATGGGTTTCATTGATTTTGCAGCTTTCTGTATTTTCATCAAAGTGTTAAAATGTAATTGTTATACTAACAATTCCGTGTATTGAATACTTGAGCGCTCATCACTTCACTTGAAACGCTAACTATATTTGCTTTGCTTAATATCAAAAATGAACTTCATTTGTGAGAAGGACTTTCTGTATACATGTAAGAGTTATTGACCTTCAATTTCCAGTAGTTTGTAGCCAGCTGCCGATTTAATTGAGCTAGGTAAATGTTTTGGTGTCAACTTACGGTAAAACAATAGATTGCTAACGAGTTAAATTAGGTCATTCTCGGGGATTTCCCAATTACTGCATGACCAAGCAATGGTCTTGTGATAAAATCTCCACATTCAATGTAACATTTAATGTAATATAACAACTAAATTGAAACAGGCAGTAATACACTTTCATACACATACAAAGTAACAAATCAAAACGTCATAAAATTTCAGCCAATTTTTGCTCAAAGTTTACTCAAGAGATTAGAAACTATGCATAATGATGTTAGAGATTACATTACCGAAAATTCATCATGAACTCGTGTTTGCTCTTGTAAACAACAAAAAAGGCGGATAATAGCTTGAATAATTACTTGAAAGCGTCGTTAAAAGCGGTAAACAATAAAGGCTGAAACACACTAGGCAGTCGCTTTAGTCGCGCGTCTAAATCTACCGCTTTGCGTGGTTACTAAGCTAGTAGCGTAGTCGCGTCAGCTAGTCGCTTTGAAAGTTCAACATGTTGAACTTTTGACTTTGGTCGCTTCAGTCGCTTTACACTGATTGGCCAATAGATACATTTTAACTTCCTAAATGCATATCATATTTCCTGTCATAAGCATCATACGAAATTTATAGATTATACCTTGGAAAACGAAGGCAATATATAGTGAATTCACACTGGAATCTTTCAGTTTTTATATGACTTATCAAATAGGGACAATAGGAGCTACAAACTGGAACCCTAATGCACAACCTAAGTGCGCAGAATAAGATTATCCACAATATACGCGTAATAAACTATGATCATATTGGCGTGTTTTAACTGGCTTGTTCTCTTTTCTCCACATAGTAGTTTGTACTGAGTAAATATTCATATATTAGTAGCTATAATAAAGGCCAAAATAAAAAGTTTAAGTGATATCTGTGTCTGTAACAAACTAAAATCACCGCCATGTGCAATAGACGCCACGGTAAAAGTCGCGATGGTCGCTGCATGTGTGTTTCTAGCGTTCAAGCGACTGACGCGTGCGCATCAATTCGCTTTGGACGCGCGACTGAAGCGACTGCCCAGTGTGTTTCAGCCTTAATCTGTAAATTTTTGACATCACCCGACAGCAAAGAATAAGCCATGATATCGTGCCAATAATTCATTCATTCAAGATGTTTTGATTTTGCAAGGTGTACTAGCTGCAGTTTGTATGCTCTTTAAACGGTTTTTTACCTCCGTAGGACTTAATGTACGACATGGCTTAATAAATTTTCGTTCTGTGGTTGATTGATTGAACTGGTTATGATTACGTGATTAATAGCATATACACCACATATTATTCTAATATGCTGAACGTTTGGAATAAGAATGTATCTTACAATCTCAGGAGCATACGTATAATATTGCGCAGGGCATGTTTTGCTAAAAATTTGTAGTGTCTGCTATGCGATTGCAGGCTTTCAAGTTTTTTTTTGTCTTTCTTTGATTATTTCGTATGAATATTTCAATTGAATGAATCAAAAAGAATTGTCAAATCAATCATGAATAAATGTTAGAGAAAAAATTGAAACAGTTGTTTTAAATTTTTCCGTTTTATAGTTTTCTAGAAGGTCGCCTCTGCTTGCATAAGCATGTGCAAACACAATAAACATCTTTTACTTCTTGATTGAAACATGATTGGTGACACTTTTTACAAAGATATTTCTAAAAAATTACAGTTTGCCAGGCAAAAGGAGATCGTACCCGAAATAGAATTGCAGTTGGAACGTTTACGATCAATCCGTGAACCGATGTCGTTGGAAGTTGCACATGAAAACATTAGATTATCTCGACGTTCCCTTCAAACAATTATTGAAATTTGCAAAGTCGAGCAAAGAAGAGTTGAAAAGCTTGAACTCATATCAAAGATGCGCGATAAATTTGCCAATATGAAGATAGAGGTAATTTTGTAACTTTTCATTTTTGATAAAAAAAGTCTGTGAAGAACTGTTTGTGCGAATTTGTAGCGAAATTCGTCGTATTACTCCTCATCTTTGATATAAAAAAACTCAAATTAGCGGCTGGAGTTGGCAGAACACGACAATTCAATATTCTCAGTGAAACCAAAGCTTATACTTACCTAGCAAAGTCTAGAACGAATACATGAGAACACTGATTCGATTGCTTGAGTATCTCGATAAGTTAGCGCTTATTGCAATCAGATTTCATCTTTGAAAACATTTGAGCATGCGCAAAAAATCTTTAAAAAATCAGTATTAGGTATTTCTTTTATAAGTTGTTAGAGTAGGTCACGGTCAATTAAATGTGCACAACGATTCATATAGAAATTCAAGAAAATTTATGAAATAAATAAGTAAAAGCAAATCATGCTGGATGACAGAGTAGATGTCTAAAAAATCATCGATTATGTCGGAAAAAGACACAAAAATTTGCAGATAATTAGACCGGTGAACAGCATATATTTTTGGTTATGTTGAGCATCGAACGACAGGGCCACGTTACTATTGCAGCGCTGTTCGCTATTTGTTTCTAAATTGGTGTTTTTTTAAAGTATGCGATGTCGATGTGTGAATAAAAGCATAAATGTCACATTTCAGTATTATCGGCAAAATTAAAACTTCTGACATACATAAATTCCATTTCACGCATATGAAAACGACAGTAAATCATCGAACATTTTGCTTCTTGAACGAATTTTTTAAGAAATATTTTTCAATTGCAGCGGAAAATAGTGCAGGAAACGACGACAGGTGTGCCAGAACAAGGCGACGAAAATGAAGATCACCCGGTATGTCTTTACTTGATTGGCATAGAATTATGTATAGGATTCTCATTCATCATAACTTTCATTGATCTCTTTTCAGCATGAGGCGACTGAGGAAACTGAATCAATGTTATTGACATCCCAAGAACACGAAGACAATGTGAATGATGTGAGTAAAGTGATTGATATGAAGATAGACTCTTACATCAGCTTTTTTAATCAGTCAAATTCGAGACTGTTTGATTGAAAAGTTTAATCTTGGCCAATGCTTAGTATTAAAAAAAAAGACAGCCAAGGGTTCCCTACTGTTTAATATTTCACTCATTGATACACAAAATCATAATTCTGTAGGCACTTCAATGTCAGTCAGTATGCATATTCTGAAAATGGTATACTTCTCCCATCATCTCCCATCATCTATGTGCCATTGCTTTTTCTTATCCAATGACTGTTCATGCGCATGGATAAATTTGTAGTCTAAATGTGCTTCCTATATCAATTAATGTAAGTTTTTTGTTTATTGTAGTCTCAAAATATACTGAACACCGAGGGAGGAAGTCTTCCACTAGAGCGCAATGAATCATGTATAGACCATCAAGTAAGTGAACATGTTGCAAACTATGGCCAATGATATTTTTCTCAAATTATCCGTTCTCGGGCTTCGTCTTTGTGTAATATTCACTCATAGATCTTTCACACTTTTTTTAATTGTTGATTCTATTTAGGTTTCAGCCCATCAACATGATTTTAAATTTCTAAACTTGGTTATTAAAGTATTGTTTAGAATGTAGCAACTCACATGATCATAATTTCATACTTTAATAGCAGTAAGATTTTATTTTCCATCAGTAGTAGCTACTTCTCCCATTTTCCGGGTTGCATTGATCTTGTCTATTTAATTACGATTCGTGCTTATGGATATTACAGAAACCGTACAGTCTAACTGTCCATATGTACGTTGAATATTTTTTTAATATGTCGTTGTTGTTGTTTGCTTAGACAAATATGCTCAACTCCAACAGAGAAAGTCTTCCTTTACAATGCAACGAGTCAGACAACAAGCAACGACAACGGGTAACAGACAACGAAGTATGCGTATATTGCTAACTATTGACAATCCTAATTTCTCAATTATCTTCTTCAATACCCCCAATTATCGAGTTTGCTACGATGGTAAAATATACTATAATTATATAGGTATGCTGTCTTGATCCACGGAAAATGATTTTTTGCAAACGGTCATGCGGTTTAGTTGCTTTGCAAGTGATGCTACGCAAAGAAGGCGTTTCTTTTTGTATGTCAAGGTTGTGTCAGAAATTGCAGCAAAATTTGTTGACCAGAAGGCAAGAAAAACTTGAGAAAATGGATGGTTTGTTGCCATGCCCGAAAGTACTTCCTTTCCTGTATGAAAAAAAGTTCTTTAAAGAAATACTCCTCGAACGAGGGTTTTCACTGGAAGAAGTGAAGGATGCTTTTAAAAATTCAGGGCGTAAAGCAGGTGTTTTACTTTATCACACGAAGAGCATAAGCCATTGTGTTAATTTGGTGAATCACATGAAGGAAGTAAAAATTCATGATTGGACTAATGGCAGAGACGATCCGATAGACTTTGATAAAGCCCTCTCTGCTCAGGTTGTTGTTTTGTCTTATACAAATGATGAAGATGGTAAAATTTATGGCATTTCCGTCATTGGTAGTGAATGGGATGATTGCTATTCAGACATTTGCAAAACAGAATATATCCAAAGTCACGCAAATAACGGAAATCTTAGTTGTTCAAATAGGGAGGAGGTAGCTGATGGACTTTAAACTTAAAATTTGTTGTGAGTGTCAGCCAAATTCTCAAATTCCCCACATCCAGTCAATTATAATAAAGTTGTAAGGAAGCATGTGAACTTACAAGATGTAGATTTTACGGCAAACAAGAAGGCATTGACACCTCATCCCACAGCATATGTACCAACATACCAAGCATCCAAAACAAAAGCCTCCTATCTACCTTCTTCTAAGCGAAAAAAGAACCAAAAAAGACCAGGATATTATGTAATATGAGCTAACAGAAATGAATGCATGGGAAAATGACCATTAGGCGCTCATTATGCCAACCAAAAAAAACCAGATAAAAGCCTCACAGGAAAAAAGCAACAAACGAACTGACAAGATGAAAAATTGTCACCCCAAAAAAGAAAAAATCCAGAAAAGACCTACATGCGTAAGGAAGAGAAAAATATAGCTAAAACACAAGTTGCAAAGCCACTTGGATTTAAAAATGGAATTCATAAAAATAGGTGAGTACATGGAATATAGATTTCTTCGAGCATACAAAAATGCTGGTTGTATTTCTTCGATAGGATGAAACATGGTTACAATTGAATAAACGTATAATTTAATTGATAGAGCAATTCATAAGGGGAATAGTAAAATTTCGAGTGCTTACGAATGAACATACGAGAGTGAGTTTATTTTAAAGACTGCAACGAAATACTACCGAAGCTACTTACAATCTTTGCAATTTTCTAACTTTCATAAACATTAGCCACAAAAACATTACATTCTTTACATTTTTTGAAATTCTTGAATTTCACAAGGTTGCAATTGTGGAGATCTTTGTTTACTTAAAACTGCCACCATGTTTTTTATGCATTGAATGAAAGGCAATTACACTTTTTTGCTGGGCAATTACAAATAAACTGCACTGCAGTCTACTAGTGACAGTTTACAAATCACTCAAAGTATTTATTAATACCGTGACAATTTTTCCTTTAAAGGTTTTTGAAAGAAAAGAAAAAACTTCCATCTACTTATCAACTGCATATAGCATTAACCAGTGGCGATCCGATTTTCTTCCAACCATCCTTCTGAACATTGCTATACGATTTGTGCAGTAAGTTTTCTCTTTTTTATTTTAGCTGTAAGGAAGTGATGAGTAGTCATATTTGAATGAAAAGATTGAGTGACGTCACTGTACGTAAGCGTTTCAGGTCAATGACGTCTCCTGAAAATGAAAACATTTTGGAAAACACGCATGAAGTATTTAAATCATTCAAGAATTTGCTGAAGAGTAGTATTTAAACTGAACGCCTAAAATGGTTTGCTGTGAACTTATGCAAAGGAGTTGATCAAGATCAATTCTGTAGTTTGAAGTCTTACGATCGTGAATCTTGTTTATGGGACTAAATTTAATTAGGCTATGATACGAAAAAAAGATGAACTTTTGTTGTTGCCTTTTGATCAGCTAGTGAGACTTAAAAAGAAAAACCAGTTGAAAGACACTACTTTTTCAATCAATAATTTTCTTTTCGACCAAATTCTTCATATGTTGATTTTGATGCCTAAGTTACTTTATGGTGTCTACTCATGCCAGCAAACACACGAAACAGATAGTTATGTGTAGAATTCATTACGATTTATTACCAGAGCACTGGACCAAACAATTTTTAATTATTATAAGAACGGAGTAAACGTTACGACATTTAACAGTGTGAAGAGAACAGTTCCATCGCACCATATGGTTGCACATCACGTGACGATTTATGCTTCTAGTTGTTGGATAAATCGTATCTTAACTTTGTTTAGTAAAATGACCCTCGACTTAATTGGTGACATATAGTGAGCACTTCACCGTATTTGAAAGGTACAGGTGACAAAATGTAATTATTTTATTTGATAGCGATACACGTGACCACATTTTTCTGTAAACAAGACCTGGCGAAGATGTTTTAGCATTGTGATATGAATGAGCGCAATCATCAACGAAAATTGTATAAATCTGAAACGATTCAAAAGTATTCATTGATGGAAGACTGAATGGGAAGATAAAAGTGAAACAATAGCTATCTGAAATCGTAGACGGAGTTGAGGCAGCAATCGCAAGATAGATTATTAATTTATTCATTGAATATTTTGTTTATGTATAATAGCTAGCTTTTTACCATAAGCGATAACGCTACCATTTAGAATTTGTTTCTGATACATCAATACCAATGGCGGATCTAGGTTACGTCAATGAAAAGTATTTATTGTACCTCGTTTGTGGTTTAAAAAATGCTTTAGAGAAAACTTGATAGGTAAAATTTTATTATTTATAAAATTCAAATATTTAGTTTTTTTAGGAAGATTTCTTGAATTAAAAGGGAGCATCTATAATTTTTTTTGGCAAATGCTGGATCCGCCTATGTAATATGAAAGATTTAATCAAAAAACGTCAATAGAGTTGTACGTAACTAAAGTTATATATACTATTAAATTTGGCATAAATCAGCGTATACATTACGTAAATTGCTCCTCTGAATCTAAGTTTCTTAATTAGGCACAGTACTGCCAAGCAATAACAACTAACTTTTCAATTTTGCATCAATTTTCTAATCAAGTGCTACAGGCTATACCTTGCCATGTCTTAGCATAATCATATTACAATATTTTCAACCTTAATTCTAGGATAAGACAGACTGCAACACTTTATCGAAAATTTTTAAAACCTAAGCTCATAGTACTGATATAAGAATTCAAATAGCTTTAAAGTGCCCCTTTCGGCAAAAATTTTTAATAGCAATATTTAATTTAGGTGTGATTTTCAAAGTATCAGTAAAAAAGTTTTTAGGTTTGTCAAATCGTTCCATTTTTATTGCTATTTAAAGTTTGCCAAAATTTTCCATTTAATGGACCTTGCCCATCGTTAAAAAAGTCTGGAACGACTTGCCTTTGTGACGTCATGCAAGGGATTCCGCAATACAAGATATATGTACCAACTACCTTGGATGACGTCAGAATTTGGCTAGACCCAGACTTCATGCCACGACGGACAGTGTCCATTAAAAGGCAACTTTAAGCCTCCATAACAAGAAAACAGTTTGAACAAATTGAAAATATTTTTTCACCGAAGCTTTAAATACTACAGCAAGTTTTGATATCGCTAATAAACTTTTTTGCTGATTGGGACACTTTAATCAATTGCAGTTTCCTGTGATCTCGGCTAGCAGCAGCGAATATACAGTAAGGCAAATCCGTTGAAATTTTTTGTTTCAAGCATAACTTATTACGCAGGTGATTCAATTTAGATGCTAAGTGATAACTTTGCTGTGGTTGAATTTCTTGAGGAAAAGTCGGTTGAAGTTGTAGCGAAAAGTTGGATAAAAACTTGTGATGGTGTAAGTGCATTATTAAAAGAAGAGATTATTTTTTACTGTAGCTAAGTATGGTTCTTTGTTCCTATTTAGTGTTGAATTATCTTGCAAACATTATTATATAATCTAATATGCTATTGGCCCCGCACAAACATTAGATCAAGAGCAAAGAGACTTGAATTTCCAGATAAAACCGCTTGGAAAAGTTTCACAATAAGGATATTCACTTAAACAGGTAAATTACACATTAGAGTCAAATATATATTTTCGGCAGAGGTTTTATAATTGTTATATAGGGGCTTATATACGTTGACTTTAGAAGAAACTAATAAATCTAATAAATCCTTTTCCAATTGTCAATCTGTTGTCGTCCTGATACACTAAACTATGCTCCACGCAACAAGTAGCATCTGCAACTATACTTATTTCAATTTACTCAAACATGTTTTGCTTCCTAGCCTATACATTCCTGCAATTGACACAAATTTTTCTCTTTCTTGTGTATACAATACTATGATTTTCAAAGAAATGATATCCTTAAAAGTCAAATGCTGCATATGCATTTACAACATTTTTTGCATGCTGTGTTAATGAATGGCTTTTCTAGTTTTGCTCTCAGTGACATGTGCTATGTGGTGGTGACAACTTTCTTCTGTTATATGCATTTCCTTATTTCTGTATAGACACATGGGAAAAGGCTATAAAGTTTGCAAAGAAAGCCCTCGTCACGTCTATTTTGGATTCTGACGAAGATTCAGATGTAGAACCTTTAAGGAAAAGACCTCGTTTAAGAAAATGCTATGATGAAATACTGATCATCGTGATGTTGAGTGTAAGTTATTATTAAAATCTTACGGTCATCTTGATACCATCAACAATTTGCAGTGCTAACTGTTTAAGAAACTGCTGAAGTAGCCACGTGTAAATGAATGAACTGTTGCAATAGTTACGTGTAAACAAGATTTTTTATTGGTATTATCTTATCATGTTTCAGAAGACACAAGTCAATACATTTCGGGCTTTACTTTATCTCCTTTATTGCCAGCAGCTAGCAGCTCCATCATTTTCGCCTCAAGTATCCCGTTGCTTAAATGAAGACACTAAAAACCGAGTTTTAACTGTTGTAAGACAACTGATGACTTCAAATTCTGGTTTGCACCAATTCTAAAATATATGAATCTTAACTGAACTTGTTTATACAAGTTGAGATATACTCATTTTTTCTTTTATTCAGGAATGGTTAATGATTTCAATTTTTATGAAAGCGAGCGCAACATGGATGAATTGCTTAATGAAGCATCTGGTAGGTAGTGAACAATGGCTTCTATTATTCATCATTCCCATTGAGCAGAAAATGCAGTTGACTGGCTGCCTTTATGTTAATCACATTCGTGATAAAATATGTGTGGCCTGGAAACACTATTTAGACATGAATATAATCGATTGCTAAAGAAATGAAGTATAATATTTTTCGGAAATTTCCATAACCGGACCAAAACTTGCGAGTTTGCTACGTTACAGCAGTACACTTAATTTAAGTGACAATCTTTGCTAAATTTGATTAAATGAATGAAGTATAATAACGATATTCTACAGCCTTCTTATTAAAGTTTTCGGATAAAGGATAAAGTACTGCAGCCTGCCTTTTATTATAATCTAAATTGAATATACCGGAATATGATGCCACTTTCCTAGGACATAGCAGACCAGAGAGCTAGTGTCGTCAGTTTCAAATGTTCAAGTTTATTGACGAAATAGTTTTGATGTAAATTATTTGTTATCGCTTCAACGATTGCTCAAAAGATTGTGAATTTAGTTGATTTACCGAAGGTAAATTTGATTAGATTACTGTGTTCCTCGTAGCCTTTTTATCATTCGTATTGGCCAAAAAGGAAGTTTAACATATTAGGCTTGAAACAAAAAAAATCAATTGGTTTGCCATGCTGTAAATTCCATTCGTTACTCCGTGCCGAGACCACAGGAAACTGCAATAATTTAAAGCTATTAATTCTTATAACAGTAATATGAGCTTGGTTTTTAATATTTTTTTCTAAAGTGTTTTAGTCAGTCTTATCCTAGAATGAAGTTTGAAAATACTGGCATATGGTTCTACGCTTGTTAGACATGGCAAGGTATAGGCTGTAGCACTTGATTAGATAAGTTGATGCAAAATTGTTATTGTTGGGCAATGATGTACATAATCATGAAACTTAGATTCAGAAGAGAAATTTATGTAAAATATACTCTGATTTATGCCGATTTGGATGATGTTCATAACTTTATTTATGTACAAGTATATGGACGTTTTTTGACTAAAAATTTCATTTTACAATGACGGATACATTGTTAGTCAAATTAAATTACAGATGCTCAATTTTAAATACAAAATACCTTAAAAATAAAACTGAATATTTGAATTGCTAAATAATAAAATTTTTCCAAACTTCTGGTATCGACTTATTTTGATTGATGCAGCCTACATCCTGTCACTGATATTGATATATCAGACAAAATTTCTAGATGGCAGCGTCATTGTATATTTCGTACACAATTTCAGATAGATATTGATTCATTTTTATCTTCCCATTAAATCTTCCGTTGATAAAAACGTTTGAATCACGTCATTGCTTTTAATTTTTTTTAAATAGTCGCGTTTATTCACATAAACTGTTGTAACATCTTTGCCAGTTCTTGTTTACAGTAAAATGTGGTCACGTCTACCGCTATCAAACAGAAAATGGACATTTTGTCACATTTACCTTTCAATTTCTGTGTAGTAATAAATATATTATTACGTTGAGGGACATTTTTTCTCGACGAAGTTAATATACAACACCTAGAGGCATAAATGGTCACGTGACGTGGCAACCAAATGGCTCGATGGAACTGTTTTCTACGCACTGTTGAATGTCGTATCGTTTACTCTGTTCTTTAAAAAATTAAAAATTGGCAAAAAAGAGACAGTCGATCAAAATAAGTTGAAAGATAGTTAAAAAACCCAATCCTATCACATATTTTAAAAACTATGAAAGACTATCAACTCTTTTAGTGTGTATACCAACGCTCATGAGTCACGGTTTAGCCGTACACGTCGTCAGTTTTGTAACTATTTAAGACGGCTGCTTACCATAAGTATTTTGGTGACGTCAGGTATCTCGTAGTTGGGATTCAAGGTCATTGCACCAGATGTATTAACAAAAAATTTTCGGGCAATTATTTCAAGTTAAGTGAGTTTTAATAATGTTCACAATCATAATAAATATTGAGGAAATCGATTTTTATTTCAACACATTTCACTGACTTACAGTTACTACAAAAATCAAACTTCTTTTAAGGTTTTCCATATAGTCGTGAATTAGACAGTTTAAAACATTTATAAAAAATGTTCACACTTATTTACCGGCTTTGCACTTTCCAGCTATTTGACAAATAAAATGACGTTTATATGAGCATGGCAGATCGTTATGTATTCCATCTGTATAAGAACTATAATGATAGGCAATAATCTCGCCACAATCTTCATTGCCATTGCTATTACTTTGTTGGCCGCTCCCCCAGTTGGTGAAAACTGGAAGATGACCGTTGGTAGTGTAAAATTTTGAGCCGAGGCCTGGAGCCGTCTTGAACCAACCAATAAAAGCCTTATGGATCGCTTTTTTCTTCATTTCGTTAAAAAGGTAATCATTGTTTGCCTTTGAGAAGGGAACTGCAAGATCAGCACCTTTACCCATGCAAAACTTTCTTGCTTCAAGCCAGGTAGTCATGTTATCACTGAAGTAGTAACAATTTCCATGTACACATTCCCAGGCTGTAAAAGAATTATAACTGTGTTGAATATTTCTCTGCTACTCTGTTGCACATACTGGCGTTGAGCATTTACGTGAACTTACCATTTACCTGACTACAAACCGAGGAAAGCACAAACAGCAGTAATATTATATTCACGTTGTTCTTCATATTCTGAATGATATATCTTGAAAAAAGGAAAATGTTATTACTTGGGTACTCTATTTATCTTCATTGTGTCCTATTTCGTTCTTCAAGTTAATTTATTCTATTCTTCAAGTGTATCCTAGTTCTTCAAGTTTTCTCTATATTTGTTCAAGCGCGTGCATCCTGTATTTTTACTGTATCCTAATTTTTCAGTTTTTCTTA